ACTTTAACGGATAAATTCCAGGCTTATAATAAGAAAGCTATTTTTTAAATGCGTTGAAAATATGTTTTTTTTTTGCAGATCAAAACAATAGCAATTTACCCAAACGTTTTCAAGACATGGTAATCAGTTTTAAAGATACAGCTTTACAATCAACTCCATTGAATGCTGGAGTTTAACGCTTACTTAATTTCTCACTTTATAACGTTAAAAAAAACTTCCTTAATTTGACTAAGTCCAAGATCTAAAATTATTCAATATCTTGAAGTTTCGCATAGACATTAAAAATTTGCAAAGTGCCAGAATCAAGAAAATAATTTATTTATTTGAAGTTCGTAATAAATTTTATTAAAGATTAGAGATCTTCAATGCAGTCCCATTAACTTCACAATAATGGTAGGAACTTTGGAGAAGTTCTGAGTAATGAAAAGATATGCTGAGAATTTCAGTGAAGCTCCATAAAATAAGGGAAGTTAATACGCTGAAAATATGGTGAACTTACTTTAAGAAACTTTAAGAACCTCAAAGCGGTTCTTTAAGCATCCGAAAATTTTCAGGAACTTTTATGAAGTTCCTAGAATTTCAGAGAACTTCACATGCGAACTTGAGAAATATAGAAAACATGATTTTTAAGAAGTTCTAAGTACCTGAGAAAAGCTAGTTCTAGAGATCTTTGGGGAATTTCAGATATTAAGAGCAGTCTCCGTAGCTTTAGTCCAGACTTTTGGAGCAGTTTAAAGATCTATAATCGTAAATTTAGAAAAAATTCGGGATAGTTCCATGATGTGCTGAAAAAAATTAAATCGAGAACCCTTAAGATGTTCCGATTCAGGGATATACAGAGGCCTTCAGAAAAATTATGAAAAAATTAAAAATATTTCAGGAACTTCACAGAATTTCAGGGAAATTTAAAGGTGTTTACGGGAATTCTCTTTATTTCCGAAAAGAACTGAGATCCTCAATAGAATTTGGAGCTTTAGTTAAGTTTCCAGATCATCAAGACAGATTAGAGAATCAAAGGGCAGTTCAAATAATTTGAAGGAATTGTAGAAACCTTAAAGAAGTTTCGAGAAACTCAAAGAATTCCTAGAAACTTCAGCAAAGCTCCCAGAGAATTTCTGGAACGTGATAAAAATTATATGAACATCCGGAAAACGTGAGAGTATTTTAAGGGTGTTATATCATGGAGATTTCAAGAATTTAGAAAAAATGCGAAAATTTAGCTTAGTTGATTAGAGAACATCAACGAAGTTCCATTAATAAAAAAATGCGAGAACTTTTAGCAAGCTTCAAGTAAATCCAGAGAACTTCTAATACATTTAGATATTTTTAGATGGTTTCATGATATTCAGCAAAGTTTCGAGTACTTCGAGGACGATCAGATAGCTTCAGAATAGTCCCATTAACTTAAGCGGAGTTCCGTGGAATTATGGGGTATTCCAAGAATTCTATGATCCGAAAACGTCAGAAGCGTCAGGGAATTATGAATATATCAGAAAATATGGAGGAATATCAAACAAATTTAGAGAACTTCAGGTAAGCATAGATAAGTTCAGGAAAATTTAATGAGCGTTTATAATTATTATAATACTTAAGAAAAGTTGCCGAAACTTCAAAGCAAATCATTTAATTTCAGTAAAGCTGCGGGTTTTTAAAAAAATACTGATAAATTCAGGGCAGTCTAGAGAACCCTGAGGAAATTCAATAATCATTTAGGCAGTTTAATACCACCAGGAAAGTCTAGACAATCGAAAAAGTTTTAAATTAGTGCCAATAATTTACGGGAAGTATCATGAACTTCAGAAAAATCTTGAGAACTTCAGAGAAAACCATAGAACTATTTTAATTATGTCGTTCAAATTCCATGAAAATTTCGGGAGTTCCCACAAAAGTTCCAGAAATCTAGAGAAACTTGGAAATCTTCACAGAAGGACATTGATCTTCAGAAACATTTCGAGAACTTCATAGAAATCTATGGAGCTTTCGAAGCGATCCGCGAACTTCAGGAATTTTTGAAAGAAGGTTAGTAAGCTTCGAAAATTGGAAGGATTTCAGGGGGAGGTCAGTTACAGTAGTTTCAGAAAATTAGTGAAAATTTAAGGCAGTTCCCAGATTTTCAGATAATTTCAGATACGTTAAAAATTTAATTGAGGTCTTCCCTGAGTTTAGAAGTTCAGAGAAGCTTAAACAATTAAATTCAGCGCACTACAACAAAGTATCATGAACTACAAAAACCTTGGAGAAGTTTGGAGAATTTCAGAAAAGAACCGAGAACCTCAGAGCAGTTCCGTTACCATTAGAGAAGTCACATAAATTTTAAAGAAGTTTAGAGAACTTAAGCGAATTGTTAAACCTTTAAAAGAGACCTATGATCGTTAGAAAAAATGAGGAAAGCTTAGGAAAGTTTAAGAATTTAATGAGAAGTATTGTGAGCATCAGGCTAGTTTCTCAAACAAAAAAAGAACTGCAAAGCAATTTCATTGACTTCAGGACAAATTTGGGAACTTTCAAGTAGTTCTGAAGACCTTAGAATAGTCCATTCTGATTTCCATTGAAATATACCTCAACATTTCGATGATGCTTCAAAATCAATTATCTTTTAGTTTTCCTCGGAAATATCTTGAAATTCACAACAATAAGAAACCCTTTGGAAAGATTCCCCGAATATTTATTGAATTCATTTCAGATTTCTTTTTGAATCTCACTCCTTCCTTTGGAATTTAACTCACAGAAAGAATTTAGTCTCCTAAGAATTCATTAGCATTTCTCCTCACAAATTCCTTAGATTTCTTCTCATAATTTGCGTGGCAAACTCTCCTGAATTTATTTTCCGAATTCCTTTGAAGATGTTCTGGAGCTATTCTCTGATTTAATTGTAATCCTCCTTTTAGTATTTTCTAAAATATTCCAAGGACCCGGATTCGTTTTCTCCCACAAACCTAAACTGTGGATAATTTAACCTCAGAAGACCCTTGGAATTTTCCTCTGAAGGAGCTGTGCTCCTCAGAAATTACTAAGAGTTGTCATTAAAATTTGCTTTCAATTCAATTCAGGGTTTCTTGAAATTCTACTCAAATCTATCAAGCTTCACAAAAAATCTTAAATTCCTCAGAATTACCTTGAAAGCAGATTGCATTTGATGTTACTCTGAAAGATTTTTTCCCAGAACTTCCTCGAAATGAGGTCCTTAAAAATTATAATAAAATTCCACAAGCTTTTAAAACTGTGCATGGACCTTGACTCCAGATTCTTGAAAATTTCTTGAAGTATTATCGCTTTTAAGTCCAGAACTAGTTAAAATTTAAAATTTCTAGGAAATATGCATGTTCAAAAACAAAACGGTTTTTTTATTACTTATTACTTACATGTTCAAAGTGTGAATGAAAATAACGAGAAAAACGAGAAATGCTTGTATATTTTTTTTTATTATAGTCACTTTTAACACTCTTGGGTCATTCGTGACTTGTCCGGGGGTGAGATTTGAACTCGTGACTTTGACGTGAGAGGTATGGATGTTAACCACTACGCCCCCTTGCTTGTATATTAAAATTAATTCTTTAAAGGAAAAAAAATAAATTTCCTGAGAATTCGCGGACTAGGTCATAAACTTCCTATTGAATCTTTCACTTTAAAGGTTCATATCGTACATAAGTGTTTATATTTATTTAATAAGTCTAAAACATCAAACATGGTGTGCCTTCAGAACAACTACATTTCTTCTCTTAGGTCACTTTTTAGTCACTATTTTTACAACTATAAGTCACTATTTGGTCACTTATTTCTTCAACATGGTCACTAAAATCACTATTTTTGACAGCAGTGATCGCTACCAGCCCTGCTTTTTGGATTTATCTGCAGATAATTTCTAGACCAGCTTTTATATGGGAATAACTACGGGTAAAGTGAACTTTTTGTTCACCACGTTCTAACCTTTCAACATAATGATTTATGAATAAACTTGTCATCCGTTTTTATAGGAAACTACAACTTGGCTGAAGACCACTTTTTAACTGAACGTCAGAATAATTAGTTATTAATTATTTTGGAAGATGATATTGTGGTTCAAAAAATAAATTAGAATAGGGCTAAGGTTATTTAGACCGCCGAGTTCGACCGCACTGGATTGCACTGAAGAAAAAAACACAATTTTTGACGTCTTTCGCCAACATATTGGGGTGCAATTTCAAAAAAACAATATCGATTTGATATTTATAGGGGAAATGGCTCTAATGTTGGTCTATGGATCTAAGGTTGGGTCCATCGCTAAAAATCTACTATTTATCAACTTTGTCTAGATCAACGCGTCATTGGGACGGTACTAATGGATATTTTTGGTCGCTTTTGAAAATTTAGTCGATTTAGTGTGGGCTCAAATTAGGGGCATTTAGGCCGAAATTACGTCTTTTTCCCCTACATTAAACATGTTTTAAATAACTCTTAAAACATTAAAATTTAAACATTTCAGATTTAAAATTCATCATTTGAAATTTAAAACTCAACATATAAATTTAAAATTGAAGTTTTAAAATTTTGAATTTTAACAAATAAAATTTATAATTTATAATTCTAACAATCAACATTTAATATTTTTGCAAGTTTATGCTCGATTTTACATTGGAATTTTTGTGTTTGTAGACAGCTGCGGTACTGACTCTTCTTCTTCTTTACTCCGCCAGATGAGAAATTTTCTATGGATCAGCAATATTCTTCTGACATGCTCTATCAATGGTTGCAAATAGTCGAAAGACAAAACGTCGAATGACAAAAGGACGAAAGGTCGTATGATGAGAAAGGAGACAAAAGGCCGAATGGATAATGTCTTTTCATTTGCTTGTTTTCGCCTTTCAAAAGACGCTTACCAAAAATCGTTCTATCCAACAGTCTTCGAAAAACGTTATTTTGTTCACTAACTATTATTTAACATTGCCATTTGAAAATAGTTTTATAATACAATCAACCATCAACAAATCTAACCAGTTTCTTCTTTTCCATTTCTCTTCCAGGGAAGAACCTCTACAACAATGAACACGTAGCAATAAAAATGGAGCCAATGAAATCAAAAGCACCGCAACTGCACTTAGAGTATAGGTTTTACAAATTGTTAGGATCGCATGGTAAGCCCACTCGATCTGTTTTCTGTTTCTCACTCTCTCTCCGTCACACTTTTCTTGAACTCAGATTCGAGTTCTCAACATTGTGATAAAACCGAAAATCAACAACCAGAACAAGTTTTGAAAATTTCGCTTTGTTTCTTCTAACCACTTATGTATGGAGTTGTCCGCAATTTTTCAGGAGAAATTTATACTTCCTTAAACAAAATATGACCCCCCCCCCCTCAAATGACCTCTTCCCCCAGCAATCCCCCTCTCTGTCCTCCCATCACTCTCGCTTTCAACCCCCTTTTCTTCCGTTTGTTTTTATCTCTCTTCTCTTCCCATTTTTTCCACAGATACACAGTCCCCTCCCGAGGGGATCCCGCGTGTGTATCACCTAGGTACGTGTGGTGGCCGTTACAATGCAATGGTACTAGAACTGTTGGGACCATCGTTAGAAGATCTTTTTACGTTATGTGGAAGGAAATTCTCACTCAAGACTGTACTGATGATAGCTAAGCAACTAGTAAGTCACGGGTCGGCAAACACCCTTCAATCTTATCTAAATTATAGTTACTATACCTCCTATACTAGCCTCTCTCTCTCTCAATCTTTCTACTCTTTTCATCTGTATTGTTTACCCCTTTTTCTTTCCGGTTTTTGTTTTGTGTTACTCCGTTTTGTTTCTGTTTCTGTTCTTGCTTTTGGTAATCTTTCTTCTATTTTCGTTTATTCATTTGGTTTTGCGTTTTTCACCTTTCTTATGTTTTCGTTTTTCCATTGTAGTTGTTACTGGTTTACTGTTTTTTTTTGTTCTAAAAAAAGAAATCATTTCATTTACACCATTTTCATACCCATTTCCTGTAAATACCGTTTCCATCATTTTGATCATCCTAGAAAAAAAAGCCATCAATGCCAAAAAAAAAACCTCTTCCGTCCCGTCATTTATTTGTGTGTCGTGTGCGTGTGAGTTGAAAACAGTTTTTGATGGTAGATGCCGCTTTGTTCGCTGGAAGCAAAAAGAAAACCACAATGAATGGTTTGTTATTGTTTATGCTTTTGTTCAATATTAGACTGTCGACGCTTGCACGACGATAGAGAAAGTACCACAGCAATAACTACTGCCTACCGTTGCTACTTTCCTTCGTTTTGGTTTGCTCCTTCAATTTGCCACTTAACCCGGTAGTGAGTTTCCGTTTGGATATTAACTTTTAAATTTTTCGTTTTATAAAAAAAAAAGTTGATTAGATTTGCCGCAGTTATTTGTTTGTTTCTTTCTCTATTCGGGAAACGTAGATAATGAATCTTAGGCAAGCAAATTTTGCCGCTGCGTGACGCTCGCAGTAGTGTTTGTGAGTTTCGGATTATCCATTTCTCAATTGTAGATGGTTCTTTTCATCTCCCGTTTCGTCTGTATGGTCTTCCGCTCTTCGGATGCGTCTCGCGTGTGCTAGTCTGCGTATAAGTAGATCGGAAGAATGCGACTTCTTTCGTCCTCTCATAACCGTAATTATGGTATGCTAACACACACACAACAACAACAAAAGTAATGCGTAAGAATCAATCTGGAAAATTCGGCCAAGAGATGGCGCTGGTGAGGGCTTCACGATCAGCGCCATCTTTACGTCAAAAATTCTAAAACACCAACCATTGAGCAATTGTCAACACCATTGAAGTAGTAATCCCATTCGTTTTCCTCTGTTATTAAGTTATTTCCAAGGATCGAAACCAATCGAAAAATAACGCCAGATACCATTTTCAGTGTAGATAACCAGAGACATCTTTTCTTTGTTTTCTCATATTTTGTTCTTTTTCCCTGTTTTCAGTTTTTAACCTGTTTTAATTTCCTTTCTTTTTACCCACACCAATACACACACATCTTTCGCTTGACTAAATCCTCATCTTGCAGAGAGAATCAAACCGATCAATCAGTTCAGATACTGTTTTTTCACATGGATTCGACACATTAGTTCTTAAGCCGACCCGTACTTAATAGTCATTGCAAAGATAATAACAAGAAGAGGAATGTAACCTAGTCCCACTGAAAAGAAGAAGAAGAAGAAACGAATAACACATACAGCTATTGATATTAAATTGTTATCATTTTTCCTACTTCTCAGAGTAAAAGCCGCACTCAACCGAGCGGAGTGAGACCCTGATAAATTGCCTTTGAGTACAGCTGGCTATTATTAAGTTCCCTGCCACCACACGCGCCGCGAATGCCCCCTCTGCTGCGACCAATATCAGTGGGGGAAAAGGAAGAAGGCGAGACCCTCTCGCTCTCTTTTTCTTCTTTTATTAGGTCATTTATACTGCCACCCTTTTTACTACCCTTGTTTCCATCCCGGGACGCCAGATGGGATCATGTGAATAATCGCTCCGTTCCGTTTCCGTTCGCAATTCATTTCACTCCTTTATCACGTCCCTGCAAATAGCGTTGCAATTAGATATCTTTCCAACTATCGGTCTCCTAAAAGTATGCAACAGAAGGAAGTTTGAAAATGCAGGGTAGTTAACTTTGACCTATTGCACAAAAAAATAAATCCTTGGCAAAGCAAAATTTTCAAAACTAATCACGTGGTCGCGTTGTGATTGCAGTGATATCCTTTTTACTATTTTATTGTTTTCCTTTCTTTCTTTCTACCGTCGGCTATTCGGTTCGAAAACACTGAACAAAAAACAAATACCAAACAATCCTCGAAACACACCCAGCAGAAGGTATACCGGAGGTATACTACTTCGGTCCCTGTGGCAAATACAATGCACTAGTTATGGAATTACTCGGTCCTTCGCTCGAAGATCTGTTCGATCTGTGCGGCCGGCGATTCTCGCTGAAGACAGTACTCATGATAGCAATACAATTAGTAAGTAGTTTCATTACTCTCTTCCTTTCTCTCACACTCTTTTTCTCTCAACTTTTGCTCTCTTTTTTTATCGTCAATACTCACCTCAAATTCTCTGTTTCTCTCTCACCACTAGTTATAAGTTTTTTTTTTCTAAACAAATACGTCATTTTTTTGTCTCACATCTTTTAAAATTTCTCACCTAATTCGCAGTGAAATTGGTCCAATCTCCACCCTTCTCTCTTCCATACTCTATCACGAAGCAATAACTCACCAGTAGAAGGTTTTAACATTTCCAAAAAAAGAAAAACGGAAAATTTTATTGTACAGAAACTTATCCTACATTTTTTTTGTGTTTCGGTGACGTCGTGTTGGTAGTCGGCAAGATGACCACCGGATGGCGTTGTTTTTCTTTTAAAACGAATCTTTCGACTTTTGAAACCCGTGCAAGTGAGATCGTCGTCTCTGAATGCGGTAACTACTTCAATGTGTTGATTTTGCGCTCGTCCTGTCTTGGTGTGGTGCGGTATACTGATACGACTTCATGAAGGTAAATCTACGGCGCTCTGAGACCACGGCTTCGAAAAGCTTTCCAACTGATGGGACGGGATGCCACGCTTTGATTTATACGTCTGTGTGTACTGTTCGTTGCAAAATCAAGCTTTTTGTAGTAAAACCGGTCTCTTCACGTAAAAGCAGGACAAAATGCAAGATCAATAGAATATTTTAACCTGAGTATTAGACGCCAAATGACGAATCGAAATTTTGGACTCCGATTTGGGCAATCATTCACATTTTAACAAAAAATCGGCCATTTTGGATGTTGTAATTTTTTCAAAATGGCGTCTTTGTTATTTTTTAATAAATTGTAGCATGAAAACGTCACTTCTGATCGAAATGACGTCTTAGACAGAGTTGTGTAGAAAAGTAAATAATGCTGGGAAACATATAGGGGAAATGGCTCTAATGTTGGCCTATGGATCTAAGATTGGGCCCATCGCTAATCAATATGGCTATTTATCAATTTTATCTAGATGAACGCGTTATTGGGACGTTACTAATGGATATTTTTGGTTGCTATTGAAAATTTAGTCGATTGCTGAATTTATGTACGGGCCCAAATTAGGGACACTTAGGCCGACATTACCTGCATTTCCCCTATATTTCTCCCAGAATTGCTTTACTGTTCACCTCAACCACTTTGTCTAAGACTTTTTAGTGCTACAATTTAATGAAAAATTTCAAAGACACCATTTTGAAAAAAAATACACGATCCATACACGAAGTTTCATGCAAATCGGAGAAGATGGAGTCTTAATTTTTTATTTTTTAATCCTATTTGGTTGGGAATTGCTCCTATCTAAAGTTTTTTTTAGCAAAATTTATATTCCGCAACCGTTATGAATTACCCATAAAATGGGCAATTTTTTTAAAGGAGATTTTAGTTCTCAAAATTAACCCACTCAACTTTGTATAAATTATGTTACTCTACACGCTAAAAACTACTTAGCCATTCGTAGGTACATGGTGTATGTAAACCTGCCCATCTTTCCAAAAAGTACACATATACATGTTATGGGTGAAGTTTGTAACCCACAAATGTATGAGCATTGACGACCATACATTTCAGTAGTTGCTACTCCGTGATTGACCAGATTTAGCGAAATTTGCACAAAGAACCATATGAATGGGGCTTGGAACTAGCAATCCATTCTCAGTGTACAAAATCCGGAGAATCCTTATTTTTGAGGTCAATAACGGCGCCGGCCACGTCCTTACGGTCATCGGGGAGGGAAAGGATTGTTATTTCAACAACCGTTGTTACTAGAAACCGAGTATACCTCTGCATCTCCACGTTTGTCACGGGAAGGACGTTTCGGTTAGTGGGAAGGGTTAGTTAGATCTGTATTCGCATTGGGAAGTGAAAACCTGTTAAGCAAATGACGCGACCCTATCAACTCAGTAATGTAAAGGAGCTTGGGTTCTAACCCACGATCTTCTGCTCAGTAAGCAAAAACGGTTGCTCTAAGGCCACCGTGCCCCTTACATCACAACAATCTACGACCTACGATCGTTCATTATCGGTTACAAGAAGCTATTACAATGAAATGAAATCCTCCATAGTATCAAAGTATGTCTTCCGAACCGGATCAGGTGTACGTAACATTGGTCTAAATATACTTATTACTTTTCTGAATCGTTCCTCCAATTTCTGTTATTAACAATTTTCCACAATAGTGGCCTGGATGATAGATTAACTCAGTAATGTAGTCACACGACGACGAGACTCTCGATAGAACTACATGCCGAAAGCGTGACATCCGAATACGGTGAACCGGCCTCCCGGGCAATGGAAACCGTGAACTATACAACAGCAAAACCCATTAAGTTTGTAACCCACAAATGAGTAACTATAACCCAAAAAAAAATACAAATTTGTGGATGAAAGCTTCCTATTTGTGGGTTAAAAATGTTGCACATACAGTGGATATGTACACTTTTCCGAGACATGGTGACTTCTATAAAACGAGTAGAAAAATAAGTAAGTTGTTTTTTGCGTGTATAATAGGGGTGAATTTGATAATTTTCGCGGGATTATACACTTAAGGTGAACCCGTTTGAACCACACGCAAATGCAAAATGCAAAAATACCAACAAGCATTGCAAATTAGCAAAATCTAGATAGAGCTGGAATTAGGGCGTAACAGAATTGTAAACAATGACTTCTTTCGATGATTTCTAGAAAGTTAAGACTTGCCAACGCAAACCAACAACACTTCTCCTACCCGACGGTTATGATAGTTTGTGTAGGCATGCCTTGATTTCATAGAAATCATCGATAAAAGTCATTGTTACAAAGGCTGTTACGCCCTAATTCCAGCTCTATCTAGAAATGGGAAGTATTGAAAATACAATATTATTGTATAATTATAATAATTCTACTACTGAAAAGACAACTTCAATTCCAAGATTCCAAGTGCAGGGAAGTCTTGCCGAAGGACAGGGAAGTCCTATTGAAGTTCAGGGAAGTATTGCCGTAGTTCAGGGAAGGCCTGCCGAACTTCAGGGAAGGCCTGCCGAACTTCAGGGAAGGCTTGATAAAGTTCAGGGAAGTCCTGTCGAAACTCTTCCGAATTTCAGGGAAGTCGTCCTGCCAAAGTTCGGGGAAGTCCTGATGAAGTTTAGGAAAGTCCTGCCACTTCAATTCTTGAATGTTGGTTAATTTTCACAACGGTGGACAATGGAGATTATTTATCAATGGTGGATGATTTCTACAATAGTTGAGGAAATAGTTCAATTTATCTAACTATCTTTAAAAATAATCAGATCTATCAGAATACCTCCATAAAAAAGGCTGGAAATTTCACAGAATATCCTCAAATACTTGTGAAACAACTTGTGAAAATTGATGATCAATTTGGTTTAAAACATATTTCATTCAGTAATGGCAAATGTGGGAGATTTCTAAAATAGTTGAATATATACAGTTCAATTTTTCTAATTATATTAAAAAATACCAACATATATCAGAATACCATCATCAAAATGGCTGATATTTTCACAGAATATCCTCAAATACTCGTGAAACAACTTGTGAATATTGACGATCGATTTGGTTTAAAAAATATTTTATTTATCAATGGCAAAGGTGTCTGATTTCTAGTTTTTGTTTAGCATTCAGCTTACGCATACGCACAATTAAATTGTTTTCATTACTTCACAAATACACGCTTATCCAACATGATTTAGGAATACTCTCAGTTTAGCAGTATTTTTACTATTTATTTTCAAGCGCTTTCGTCAATGAGTTCTTGCCATAACGCATAGATGACATTGCCGAATAATTATTACATCCATTATAAATTATCGATAATTTTCGCAGAATATTTCGAATTGAAATACCAACAAAATATCTTACAATATTTATCAATTATTGCGAACGAAAAATGTCACGCTCGAGCTTGATCATGCTATCGGTGCTGATCGCTGATTCGTTCTCTGTTTTGTGCGAGCGTTCCGAATCACATTGTTCTTTCACCTGGAGACAGCTTACGCACAGACAGCCTTGTAAGCGGTTACGGTAGTCGACACATTTTCTGTGATAATCGACTGGCTTTGCCTCCGACACTTGCAAAACAAGCTATCGTAGTACAGTACCAAAATAAAATGTCATATGAAAGGCTCTGTCATACGACGACAGTGTCAAAGATCGTCACGAATGTATGTATTTTAGTTTTTCTCATAATAAGAGCTGCTGATGTTGGGCTTATGTGAATTCAGTGAATAGCAAGCAATGATGTCCTAGTAATAACATGTCTTTTGATAGTTTTTATGATAATTTTCTTTTAGCTCGAATGTTATTCTACCGTTCGTGTTGTGTGAGAGAGACGACGGTAGAGCATGAGTGTACGAATACAAACAGACTGTCGCGCACGACAACGAAGCGAATGTAGTAAAAAACGTCATGAAACGGTGCGCACAGATCCATGCAAAATAAATCTAATGCTTGGGGTTGCGTTACAAAAAAAGCTTTGTTTTGAAATAATGCATTTTACAGGTATATTGTCTTCGTAGGAAATGTTCTTAACAATATTTTGAAACGATCTACGGAAGTCAAATATGACCTTTCATACTAAATACTTGTGAAATTGATGAGCAAAGTTAGCGACCACTATGATTGTGTTCATAAAATTGAACTTAGAAAATGGGTTTCAGAACATTTCAACAATGAATCAATCTTGTCAAAATGCTATAAATAGCAATTTCAGTTCTTTCAGTTATTTTGCAAAAAAATCGATGGAGTGAGTCATTCTGAACCGATCCACTTTCACCATAAGTCAACCTAAATTTGAGTTACTTTGGGAACATCCGGCCTTTTTCTCCATTGTCAGTCAACTTTATCTAGATTCGGGTAATCCCACCTTAGTGTTAATGTCTAGGTGAAACTGTACTTTTTGCATTAAGTGTTTGGTTAAAGTTCACCAATAATCGACCAGAATCTCGCACATTTACTAAATGAG